CCACGCGCTTGCCGGGGCTCCCCGGCCCCCTGCGTGCACGCCTGGAAGATCAGAGTCAGTGTGGAGTTGCTGTGGCGCGCCCCCTCATGCTGGTTTGCTGTGAGGGCCGCACGACACACTCCGAGGGCCGTGCCTCCACGACACCTGCCTGCAAGCACTGCATGGCATTGGGCAGCTCGCCGCTACCCTGACGGCAGGGGCTTTTGTGGGGAACGGGCCCATGCGCCGTCTCTAGCCACGGCAGCTCACACTAGGGGAGGGAGGCTTCTGGGCCATTGGCCAGTTCTTGCAGCCAGAGAGCCAGGCAGGGCAGAATGGCCTAAGGAGCCTGGTCTTCTACCCAGCCTGTGGCAGCAAGCTTCCCCGCCCCGGTCGACCAGCGCAAGCCCTGCTAACCTGGGCGGGGATGCTTGGTGGGAGCTGGGGAAAAGCCGGCTGTTGTAGTGGGGACGAGCCACCAGGGGTCCTCCTGGTCCCACCAGTGGGCCAGCACACTGCACGCTCTCCGGCTGCCGTGTGCCACCACGCAGCCCACAAGCAAGTGCTCGGAACCGTGTCCCCGTGTCCTTCCAGCTGGAGCACCGGGGTTCAGAACTGCAGGGTTGGCCTCAAGCCGAGCTTGCCGGGCCGGGCCGGTCGCAGGGGTGGCTGGGTTTGGCCAGGCCGGTGTGGGAATTCCTGGGCTTCGGCGTGTGCTGAGAAAGCTCTTTGGTTTGTTCTGGTCTGGCTGCTCCAGGAGGTGCAAGAACCGGCCGTGCTGAGCAACAGCCCGTCTGACCGGGTGGCGTCGCTGCTGGTTTCCTTCTGCGAGCAAGAGGAATGGGACTGCGTGCTCTGGCTCCACGGCCTGCAGAAAATTCAGGTAAAACGCCCCCCAAGAGCAGCCAGTGCCTCTCAGACAACCCCTCCAGGCGGCTCTTGGCGTCCTCGCCCATTTCTCAGGTGTGGTCCTGGGGTGAAAGGAACCAATGGCCCAGATCTGGCCACGATGCAGCAGCCTCTCCTTTGGGCCATGGTCGCTCCCGTGGCAGGGGCGTGACCAAGCCAAGGCTGCGGCTGGCCATGCAATTCACAGCCGAGACGCCAAACTCCTGTCCCCTCGGAGTACACTGGCTGGCTAGCCGCGGAGGCCAGGCAGCACCTTTTCCCCAGGCCCGTCCCTGCAGTAAACAGGATGAAGTTTAATAAAGACAAATGCAAAGTGCTCCACTTAGGAAGGAACAATCAGTTTCACACATACAGAATGGGAAGTGACAGTCTGGGAAGGAGTACGGCAGAAAGGGATCTAGGGGTCATAGTGGACCACAAGTTGAATATGAGTCAACAGTGTGATGCTGTTGCAAAAAAAGCAAACGGGATTCTGGGATGCATTAACAAGGGTGTTATGAGCAAGACACAAGAAGTCATTCTTCTGTTCCATTTTGCACTGATTAGGCCTCAGTTGGAGTATTGTGTCTAGTTCTAGGTATGACATTTCAAGAAAGATGTAGTGAAATTAGAGAAGGCCCAGAGAAGAGCAACAAAAACGATTAAAGCTCTGCTAAACATGAACTATGAGGGAAGGCTGAAAGAACTGGGTTTGTTTAGTTTAGAAAAAAGAAGACTAAGAGGGGACATGATAAGCAGTTTTCAAGTACCTAAAAAGGTGTTATAAGGAGGAGGGAGAAAAATTATTCTCCTTGACCTCTGATGATAGGACAAGAAGCAATGGGTTTAAATTGCAGCAGGGGAAGTTTAGGTTGGACATTAGGAAAATCTTCCTGTCCGGGTGGCTAAATACTGGAATGAATTGCCTAAGGAGGTGTGGAATCTCCATCAGTGGAGACATTTAAGAGCAGGTTAGACAGACATCTATCAGGGATGATGTAGATGGTGCTTGGTCCTGCCATGAGGGGAGGGAACTGGACTTGACTGAAGTACTGGCAGAATATTAATGCTCCAGTACTAAAGGCTTGTTTACACAGGGAAACTGAGCATGTGGAGTGCAGTATTCTGCAATAGCTATTCCAGAATAACTCCCCATGTGGGTACTCCATTCCAGAATTTTTTAAAAGAAATCACTTTATTCAGAAATAATTAATGCACAAGACATACTATGTGGCAATAGAAGGAACCCAATGTTTAGGTTGGACATTAGGAAAAAGTTCCTAACTGTCAGGATGGTCAAACACTGGAATAAATTGCCCAGGGAGGTTTGGAATCCCCGTCTCTGGAGATATTGAAGAGCAGGTTAGATAAATGTCTATCAGGGATGGTCTCAGTATTTGGTCCTGCCATGGGTGCAGGGGACTGGACTCGATGACCTCTCGAGGTCCCTTCCAGTCCTAGTATTCTGTGATTCTATTATTGTAATTCCATTCCCTCCACCAACACTTACACAGCACAGCGCAGCAGCTCCAGGGCCCTGGGAGGAATAAAGATCTTCCTTCTTTGGGATCACCTTCGTTCTGGGCATGGCGAGCTCTGTCCTGCCCTCTTGCCTCCTAGCCCTGCCTTTTCTCTGGCTAGCTGACTGGGAGAATTCTCTGAAGCTGCAGTGAGCAGAGTGCTGACCCCTTAGGTCTCAGCGCTCGGTCCTGGCTCTCCCCTTTATGGGGGCGGGGGAGGAGAGGGTTGTGCCTTCCCCTCCTTGTACGAGGTGCTTGCCTCTTTACATTCCCGTTTGCCCCACGCTGGTCTGGCAGGGTCTCTTTTCTGGGTCGTTCCATCTTCCACCCGCAGAAATGGCTCCTTTAATTCAGTGCTGGCCCACAGATCTTTGCCCTGTGGGCCCACTCACCTTAACATCTTCCTCCTTGTCTCGGGATAGGGCTTCTTGTTGTCCCCAGTCCCACAAACTGGCCCCGGCGCTCTTCCCTTCACCCTTTCTGCCAATCAGGTACCCGGGACTTTTCTTCTCCACGGCGGCTATTTCCACCTTTTTCTCCCTTTTCCCCAGGGCGGTTCTATGTTTGGCTTGGCTTGTGCCAGTCAGACTAGGATGGTCTGATTCTGTTAATGCAGGCTCTTCCCCGCCCCTCATTTGCCCCTTTCTCTGCAGCTGTGGGGCCACGGCTGCCCGCTTTCTTGTTCTAGAAGAAGGGGCTTCAGTCCATCCCTCTGCAGCCCAAGGGGCCAGCCTTTCCTCTGCTCCCCTTTAGCCAGGGTACCTCTGCCACTGGGCAGTTTCCTCTCCCTTTGAATGCCATGGGGAGCCTCCAGCAGGATCACTACAAGAGCATCCTGAGGCAAAGTCCACAATCCCCCTTCTGCCCACCTTTAGGGGGATGGCAGGAGGTTTCCTTTTCCTCCCACCCTGACAGTCCCAATCCATCTGCAGAATTCTGGGCCCCTGCACTGCGGCCTGGTGCAGTCCTGTGCAATATGTTCTGTCCTTCCACATTGGTGGTGTACTATTCCCCGGCCCCCTGGAAGAGCTCCTCTGGCTTCCTCCCACTTCTTCTTGGCACTTTTCAGTTCCCTCCTCTGCCCTCGGCTTCAGACCTGTAGGCAGCCAGACCTCTCTTCTGAGAAACCCAGCTTCTAAGACCTCTTGGGAGAGTTAGATTGTCCCCTCTGGGGTGCTGGGCTGGCTCCCCCCGTCCCGCATTCTCTGGGAGGCTCAGCAGAAATTGGGCCAGGACTATCAGGGCCGTAATCCCCCCAAATATGTGATCTCAGCCAGTGGGCTTCCCAGTCTCTCAGCTTTCGTGCAAGTGCCTTGAGTTGCAACCCTCCAGCCCATCGAGTGGCCCAACATTTCTGCTGGGACATTTCAACAGACAGCCCCTCCCAGTCCAAAACGGACCTTTGTAACATCTCCGTCCTGCTCCTGCTCCTGCTCCTCTCTCAAGGCCTGCAAGCCCCAGAGCTTCCCCCATGAGACAGAGCGCCGCCCCCCAGAGTGCTGCCCCGGGGGGCCACTTTCCCTGCTCCAGCTGGCTCCTGTGGCCATACCCGCTTATATTGCCAGGGATGAGCCCAGATCACCAGCTGGGCCACTTTGTACAGAGTCGCTCCCCATGTCTAACTCTCTGTCTCTGCCCCGGGGCTCCGCCAACAGGCAAATCCCTCCAGGCTTTTCTGCTGCTCTGCCGTGCCGTGCCGTGCCGTGCCGTGCCGTGCCGTGCCGTGCCAGCCAGGGGCTAATCGTGGCAAAGCGCCGCCCGTTTATTGCCCGCCCGTGCTACATAGATTAAGCTTCCTTAGTCACGACTGCACGGAACGTTTTCCAGACACTGGACCTTGTATTTGACGGTACTGCATGCAGCTAACCAAGGGTATGTCTACACTACAAAGTTAATTCGAACTAACAAATGTTAGTTTGAATTAACTTTGATAGGCACTACACAGGCAAACCGCTATTTGGAACTTAATTCAAACTAGCGGAGAGCTTAATTATAACTAGGTAAACCTCATTCCATGAGGACTAACGCCTAGTTCGAATTAACTAGTTCGAATTAAGGGCTGTGTAGCCACTTAATTCAAACTAGTGGGAGGCTAGCCCTCCCCAGCTTTCCCTGGTGGCCACTCTGGGCACCACCAGGGAAACTCATCTGCCCCCCTCCCGGCCCCGGAGCCCTTAAAGGGGCACGGTCTGGCTACAGTGCCCGTGCCAGGTGCAAGCCTGCCAGCACCCAGCCAGCAGACCCTGCATCTGGTACGGCATGAGGCAGCCACCTGCTGCCAC